GCACATTTTACCAATTCCAAACCACATCAATCTTAATAACTACTATTATTTTTGTATTTAATCATTTAGAAGTGATACTGTATATAATTGTCCATAAAGGCTAGAAAGGAAAAACTCCTTATTAAGTTGTGCAGAATTATTAGGCAGGTTTTTTTTTACAGATGAAATTAGCCAAAAAAAAAGAGAGAATTAACTCAGACTGAGAAGTCAAAAATGATTAAATCCCCATGAGAATAGTCCTTGAATCTGGTGTTCATGAAAGAGTGGGAACCCTGAATTATGATCCTTAATGTTCTTCAAAATATTTTGTTTTGTGAAAGTAATGCATACAAGTTTGGAACAACATGAGGTTGAGTAGATGATGACAGAATTTTCATTTTTTGGGTTAACTGTTTATAATATTCTGAAACCATATGGACGTGGATTCAGTGGTGCATTTTATTTTCGATTGATTGTTGAAACCTTTATTTTGTGCTTTGCATTTTCAGTTTTGTGTCTCCCTATTTCTTTTCATATTCTCATCCTGTATTCTCCCTCCTTTTTCTTGTCTGCAAATATGATAGCTAATCATTTCCAACTCCAATACATATGTGCCAAATAGATCCTTTCAGATTTACACATCCTTTCTTTTTCCCTCTGATGTTATTAAATTGAAGCTCTTCCTGGTGTTTCTGTTCTGCTCTACTTTGTCACCATTATAAGAGCTGGAGCTCAGGCATCTGTGTTTCTTGTTAGGCGTCTGGCATGGATGCTGTCATGTTTTTATAATTACACACCCAATGGCTTGTTTATAGTCATACTGACATCCTGAAAACATTAAAATCCTAGTCTCAGATCAGCTGCAAAAAAGTGATCCTAAAACACTTAGCAAGTGCCAATGGCACAAAAACCTGTTTCTGAAAAGAAGTAGTCCACCTCTCCCGTTTATTTTCTCTCCTTCTGAGTGTCTTTTGTGTGGTGAGGTGTCTGCTCATCCTCAGGGTGGACAGTAGAGCATCTGTAGCATGCATGTAAATAGGAAGTACATGCCGTGATCAAGCACAAGCTCACTACAATCAGGTTAGCATGGCTTAACAAATCACACAAGCTTCTGGCTGAGGCATCTGGCCCCAGTATAACTGTCGCTGTGTTGAGTGACCCAAACACACTCACACTTAGCAGCTGGTGGAGTCTGTTATCCTGATTTAAGGCCAAGTGTGTCATTTTCTCCTCTGTCTGGGAGACATGAACAACACTGTATTACTATGTTTCCCCCTGGCATAAACCCAAAGCACACATGATTTCCAGTAAAGCAGCATTGCATTTATGTAACGTCTAGTTTGAAAAGTCTGTTTTGTTTGACTAATTTTTCTGAATGACATACTAAACCCTTAAGAGACCCACAGCAGCAAAACTCAAACACATGATTTTGATTTTAATTTAACCCATAATAATGGGTTGATTTGTGCTAGCTTTTTTTAATTGGAATACTAGCTTTTTATCTCATGCATGGGTTCATATTTCCAGACCAACTTAAATCCTGTAAAAAACACTATATAACCACTGTGTTTACATGATTTACTTTATTTGGATGAATACAGTTCTTAATACAGCATATTTTATACAGCTTTTATTAAAGGGGTCATCGGATGCAAAATTCACTTTTACATGTTGTTTGAACTGAAATGTGTCTTGGCAGTATGTGTACACAACCACTCTATAATGATAAAAATCCACCCAGTAGTTTTTTTTTAATCTCCAAAAATCATAACCCCTTTCTCAGATTAAGCCGTTCACAGATTCTTGGCTGTGTGGAGTCACACAAACACAGGCCGCTCCCACGATTGTTGATTAAAGGGTTAGTTCCCCCAAAAATGAAAATTAGCCTGAGGCATCCTAGGTGTATATGACTTTCTTCTTTCAGACGAATCCAATCGGAGTTATATTAAAAATTGTCCTGTGTCTTTTATAACAAGTGGATATACTGTGATACTGGTTTGATCATATATTCACACATAGTCTGGTAAGAGTTTACAATAGTTTCCATTTGTTAACGTTAGTTAAAGGGTTAGTTCACCCAAAAATGAAAGTTAGCCTGTGTTTTACTCACCCTAGGGGCATCCTAGGTGTATGACTTTCCTCTTTCAGATGAGTCCAATCAGAGCTATATTAAAAATTATCCTGGCTATTCCAAGCGTTATCATTGCAGTGGGCGGGTGTTTTTGTTCAACAGTCCAAAAGACGTCAAATAAAGTGCACGCATCCATAATAAAATGTGCCTCACACGGCTCCGGGGGATGAATGAAGGCCTCCTGTAGCGAATCCATGCGTTTTTTTTTTTGGTAAGAAAAATATCCATATTTCAAATGTAATAAACACTTCTCTCTCACTTCATCTAACTGTCAAAAGCGGAAGCCGTTCCGGCGGATGACGTAGGATGTCGTCGTAGCGTGATTAGTGACGAACGCAAAGGGAGAACAAAACAAAACGCCGGTTATGAATTAGAACTACAAACCAAGGATTTGTAAAGAAGCCAGAGGATTTCGATAAAAGCCAAGAGGAGACTGGTTTTTCTTTGCTAAAGTAAGGAAACTTTGCTTCCTTTTCTCCTGTAAACAAACTCGTGAGACTAGCATATCTCAGAGGCACGCGTGACTCATACATCATCCTCTGGAGCAGCTTCCGCATACGACAGATAGCAGAAGTGAGAGAAAAGTGTTTATTACGTTTGAAATATGGATATTTTTCTTACAGAAACACATGGATTCACTACAGGAGGCCTTTATTCACGCCCCGGAGCCGTGTGAGGCACGTTTTAATATGGATGCGCGCACTTTATTTGACATGTTTTGGACTGTTGAACAGAAACACCCATCCACTGCAATGATAACGCTTGGAATAGCCAGGACAATTTTTAATATAACTGTGAGTCACAGGCTAATTTTCTGGGTGAACTAACCTTTTAACCCTGATTGTTTTACCTTAGACCTGCCCTGAGTGAGCTGTACACAGTCCACCACTGTTTCGACGCCGGAGCAGGTGTAGACAAGAATGTCTCCTAAGCGATTGAGGTGTTTTGTTGTTGGATGTAATAATGATCATAGAAGCCGCCATTTACTCCCGACATCTGAGCTGCTGAAGACACAGTGGATTAACGTTACTTTTGTTTTTGAAGGGAATGCGCCCCCCGATCTACCTAAATGCGTTTATATTTGCACAAATCACTCGTGATCCAGCTTCACCTACAGAAGAAGTGAATATAAGGTTTTTTTTCTTTCCTAATAATGTGCTAGTTAGCAAGTTTCGTGGCTAAAGTTTACAGTCTCATGAGAATGGCTTGTCACCCCACAGAAGAGCTCATTAGCATTTAAAGGGACATGCACCGAAATGTGTCACTGTGAACAGAGCTGTTTTTGACAGGGTAAAAAGGGTGTTGTTTTACACTACCATTTCGAAATTTTAACCAAAGTATGTTATAGATTTTTCATTAAGACCCTAAAGAATCATATCAACTTGGGCATCCGATGACCCCTTTAATGTATGCAAAATTTAAAGTAATTTTTTTTTTTTTTTAAACTCCAAACATTTTAGAAATAAACATTTAATATTTATAACATTTTATTTCAAGTGTAATCAACTGTTCTCTGTTATAATTTTTCCAATTATAACCCAAAATATGATCCAATACACCCAGCAATGAATTAATATAAATCAGATAACTTTCAACAACAACTCTCAGATAATAAAATAAAACTATAAATCACAGATAAAGTACTCTAGAAAGGAAAATCATAGGTACCTGGATACTCAATTATAACAGTGCTGAAATTTTGCAACATTAAAGCTCAGCATTGCAGTTTTGCACCATGTGAGAACCACTACAACCCCAAAACAAAGTGTTCATAAATATGTTTTTATTCCTAAAAACACAATAGTATCAGTACTTGGATCTTTGTGGGTAAAAATCACTGACGTTGTCATTGAATCAGTGATTTAGATGTTGTTTTGCACATAGATTAGTTGTTCACTTAGATCAGGGGTTTCAAACTCAATTCCTGGAGGGCCGGAGCCCTGCAGAGTTTTGTTCCAACACCCATACCATGTAGTTTTCAAATAAGCCTGAAAGACTTGATTAGTTGGATCAGGTGTGTTAAACAGTGGTGTAATGTAACGAAGTAATAATACTTCGTTACGGTACTTAAGTATTTTTTGGGAGTATCTGTACTTTTCATGAGTTTTTATATTTCAGCCAACTTTTACTTTTACTCCACTACATTTCCTAATTAAAATGTATACTTTTACTTTGATACATTTCCCCGAAGCATATTCGTTACTTACTACAAAATAGTCAGAAGTCATATCAGCATGAACACATTTAATAATCATTGTATACAAGTTCAGTAAAGCAGTAAGTGACTTACATTTTAGAGATAATATTGCTTGTTTTTGCTCAATTTTGCCAACGGAAATAGTTCCAATGACTCCCTGATTAAAAGTCACTTGCTGTCACCTACTGGCGGTTTTAATTTCACATTTCGAATATTTTCTTCATGTTTTAAATTATTTCAAATATCAGAATTCAACGTTTTATGTTAAAAACAAAACATTGGGCCTATTTATGCATCTGTAACTGGAGTTTAAATGCATCCATGTCCCCTCTGAGATACATTAAACTGTATAAATACATCTAAATCCTATTTCAGATGCAGATTCCAGAAATGTTTTCTTACGTTGGAATGAAAGACACTTAAGTGCCAGATGAAGTACTTCTTATTCTTACCCAAAAAATACAAAATGGAAGAAAGAGTTAAAACTGAACACAATCTTGCTACTCAAGCTGTGTATGAAAATGTTTTATATTTATTTGCTTCTTTTCCATTTTGCATTTGCTTGTACTTTTACTTTCAATACTTAAGTACATTTAAGATTAAAAAATACTTTTTGTACTTAAGTACAATAAATATCACATACTTTAAGACTTTTACTCAAGTAATATTCTAAATGGTGACTTCAATTTCTACCAAAGTCATTTTCTGGTAAGATATCTGGACTTTTACTTGTGTATGGCTTTCAGGTACTTTATACACCACTGGTGTTAAATTAGTGTTGAATCTAAACTCTGCAGGGCTCCGGCCCTCCAGGAATTGAGTTTGACACCCCTGACCTTCAGACTGGTCTGACTCGGGTTGCTATATCTTTTCTAACTGCTCTGGCTTACGGTTTTTGTAAACCAGCGTATCAAAACCACCTAAAATCCCATAGACTTTCATTGAAAACTTTTATACAATAAGACTTATGGTGTATTTAAGCTTTCTATTGCTATAGCAAAGCTTAACAACTCCCTACTGAAAAAAACAGCTAAAACCAGCCTAAGCTGATTGGCTGCTTTGGCTGGTCTCCCAAGCTGGTTTTAAAGTGGTTTTAGCCACTTTTTTAGCAGGCCAGGCTGGTTGTAGCTATTTTTTAGCTGTTTTTTTACTGAATCAACTGGTTTTAGCTGGATTAGCATAGAAACATGATAACAACATGCTAGTAATGTGCTAATCATGCTAGAAACATGTTAACAAAATGCTAGCAACTTGCTAATCATGCTAATAACATGCTAGTAACATGCTAATCATCCTAGAAAACGTGATAGGAACGTGCTAATCATGCTAGAAACATGCTAGCAACTTGTTAAACATGCTAGCAACATGCTAGTAACTTGCTAATCATTCTAACAACATGCTAGTAACTTGTTAATCATGCTAGAAACATGCTAACAAAATGCTAGTAACTTGCTAATCATGGTAACAACATACTAGTAACTTGTTAATCATGCTAGCATAATGCTAACAACATACTAGTAACTTGCTAATCATGTTAGAAACATGCTAGCAACTTGTTAAACATGCTAGAAACATGCTATGTTAGTAACATGCTAATCATGCTAGAATCATGCTAGTAAAATGCTAATCATACTAGAATCATGCTAGCAACATGCTAGTGACTTGATAATCATGTTAACATGTTAGTAACTTGTTAATCATGCTAACAACATGCTAGTAACTTGCTAATCATGCTAGAATCATGCTAACAACAGGCTAGTAACTTGATAATCATGTTAACAACATGTTAGTAACTTGCTAATCATGCTAACAACATGCTAGTAACATGATAATCATGTGAGAAACATGCTAGTAACTTCCTAATGCTAACAAAATGTCAACACCATGCTAGTAACATGTTAATCATGCTAACAACATGCTAATCATGCTAACAAAAGGCTAACACCATGCTAGTAACATGCTAATCATGCTAGAATCATGATAGCAACATGTTAGTAACTTGCTGTTTATGTTAACAACATGCTAATCATGCTAAAACATGCTAGTAACTTGCTAATCATGCTTGCAACATGCTAACCATGTTGGAAACATGCTAATAACATGCTAATCATGCTAGAAACACGTTAATCATGCTAGTAACATGCTAATCATGCTAAAAACATGTTAACAACATGCTAGTCATGCTAGAAACAGCCTAGCAACCACCCCAGATACCCTAGCAATATGTTTTATGCCTATCTGTTTTTCTGATAGACTGTATTGCCTTGAAAACATTCAAACTTTAATCTTTAAAACTATTTTAACTTTCAAACTACTTCACATGCTAAAACATGCTAGTAACTTGCTAATCATGCTTGCAACATGCTAACCATGTTGGAAACATGCTAATAACATGCTAATCATGCTAGAAACACGTTAATCATGCTAGTAACATGCTAATCATGCTAAAAACATGTTAACAACATGCTAGTCATGCTAGAAACAGCTTAGCAACCACCCCAGGTACCCTAGCAATATGTTTTATACCTATCTGTTTTTCTGATAACTGAAAACTTTCAGACTGCAAGCTTTTAAAACTTTTTAAAACTTTCTAGCTAGGCTTTTTCAAGCCAATTTAAAGTTTGTCTACAAACTTTTTAATCTAGTTGAATCATTATTCTCCTATTTATTCCTGTAAAGCTGCTTTGAAACAATCTGTATTGTATAAAGCGCTATATAAATAGGTGATTTGACTTCTTCTTCTGGTCTTATCCATGTGTAGCATCCAGAGGGCAGCAGTGGTTATCCTAGAGAACTACTACAAAGACTTCCCTGTCCATAACCCTGCAATGCTAACAGCTTCCAAGTCCCGCGCCGCCAAACACCTGGCAGGCCTTAAAGTCTATAACGTGGATGGTGAGTTCACAACCACTCGAGCATACAGGAATCATTTGCATTTGCTTAGAAATGTGTTTCTCCTCTCAAATGCTTTTCCAGTGCAGTCATTTTAACTCAGACCTCAGAGCTTTGTTGACTTTGACATGACTACCAGTCATACTGAAGTGATGTTGTGATAAATTCTTTGTGACCACTGACGATCATGCTGTTAACATTTATCTTCTCTGGTTTTGTGTCCCTGCCTAAAAGTCTTTAAAATGAAAGTTTACCTTTTGGACAGTAAGTGGATCATTAAACTGTATTGTCCCTTTATTTTGGCCCTGAACACTTTGTTGCTGCACAGTAATCACTGATGAATAAGCACATGTTTTTGGGCACCAAAGTGGAAGTTTTTGTAAGAATTTTGTTCATATATTTATTTGTTTGTCTGCACCAGTGAAGTCACATATTTCCCTAAAACCTGCACAGAATGCATAATAGTTATTTCAGATCCCCCAGGTTTCAGATAAGCTATTGTAAGGAGTCACCAATAGCAGCTGATGCTTTAAAAGAGTGTGTACATACATGTCTGCACCTCTACAGCTGGATGTTTAGATGGACTTCACTTTGTGTGTGACTTTGTAACAGCTGCGTTTTTAAATTTCATACTCTGGGAGTCATGAATATAATTAAATTAGTGTTCGTAATCTATGCATTTACCTTAGAACCAATTTAAATTTAGTAATCATCCTGGATCACAACAAAGTTCCCAAAGTCTCACCCGTGTGTGTGTGTGTGTGTGTGTGTGCGCTACCAGTCAAAAGTTTGGGATCAGTAAGTCTTGTAATGTTTTTTAAAGAAGTCTCTTATGCTCATCAAGGC